GCTTCGTGGGCCCTGTGAGAGCCGAAGGGGCCCACGGCCCACCGCTCACCGCGAACGCCCCTGCTCTACTGAATACGAACGCGGTTCCTTGTCTGCTCCTTGTCCCTTTCAGCCAAGGAGCTGGGTGCTTACAGAACAGCATCCAGCAGGATGACTAACAGTGTTTCAGTAAAAATACGTCACTGCCTTTCTCCTGAGATCCTGGGCTTATAAATCATGCTCAGATATCACTGCGCTGAGTCACTGTCTTACAGTCAGGGGACATGATGAGACTCTTAGCAAATACCATGCTTTTACTTACTGATTAAAATACAGGGCATTTCAGTAAGTTAGTTTTCAGATAACTGGAGCCCCCTCCCTTTTTCTGTTAAACTGTTTCTTTTAAAGGAAATCTCTGTAACATTTCTTACATAAGTTGTAGGGAGCTGAGAGAGTGGCCTCTGTTTTTCTTTTACTGTTTCCTTTGTGACTTAGATTGCAGACTCTGCTGTAATAACACGGAACTTGTCAGGAGTGAGGAAGGTGAAGGCTGGACTCGGGCTCTTCTGCATCTGGCACTTTGCTGTGTCCTCCTGGTCTGTGTCGGCTGCCAGAGGGTCTTGGTGGCCGTACAGATGCGGCTCTTACCCCCATCTCTGACCGTGGCTGCAACAGCCCTGAGGTTTCATCTTCTCAACTCTGCCCTTGAAGAGCTCTTGCCTAACAGATGAACTCTTTTCAGGTGACCACGGCTTGGCATGGTTGGACTAGCTGTCCATTTGGAGGCAGGTGTGGACACCAGGAGACTGGGGACCAAGCGTGGGCCTCCCTCACCTGCTGTGTTTCTCAGCACCTTCCTGCCTGTCCACCCCAGGCAACTTCATGGTGTTCTTCTCTTTCAGAGGAGTCAGACTCAGTCTCCAACACCACCCAGGCCTCCGTCCCCCAGCTTTGAATTAGGGCTGTCCAGCTTTCCCCCGCTGCCCAGGGCAGCAGGGCATCTGAAGACAGAGGATTTGTTTGAGAACAGGCTGTCTGGATTGCTCACAGGATCGTCCAAAGAAAGGGTAAGACCCAGCTCCCACCCTCTGCTCGCTGACACCTACCCAGCACCTATGTGGGCTCTGTGCTCACCTGCTCGCTTCCACATGCACAGGAGGCTCGTTATGTGCCGGGCTGTGCTGGGCACTGTGCTGTCAGGGTGAACCGAGGACTTCCGATGCCTGGCCAGTGGGGAGGAGGGCTGCAGCTGGTGGTGCTGGACCACAGAAAAGGGCCTCGGATGAGATACGTCGACAGCTGCAAGAGGATGGGGGCGGCTGCGGCCTGGCTGTGTTTCCAGCTCTGGTCTGGGCTGAGCACACCCATCCTCAGGGCAGGACCACACCTGGGCTTCCAGCACTGTCAGCCACATATTTGTCATTACGTCTGGGGTCTCACAGACGCTTGTCTACCGGTTGTAAACTGTTTTTCCGATGGTTTTCAGAGCCTAAACGCAGATGCCAGCATGAACACTCTTCCCACGGTAGTCCCCCAAGAGCCCTTGTTGCCGGCCCCCTGTGCCACACCCACCACCATCGAGCATGCTCCCTTCCTCCCCCGCCCGCCCAAGTAAGTGCCACCCTGTCCCCATCCCCACGTGTCCCCACTGGGCTGCCCGTGGGCGGGGCACTCACAGGCCTGTTGGGTGGCACTTTTGCAGGGATCCCAAGGTGGTGGAGAAGCAGAGGGACACCACAAATGTGTTCAGACTTCCTCCTGTCCTGAGTACAACCGCCAGCAAATCTGTGCAGGTGAACGGCGCCACCACGGTAGGTGCCCCGCTGGGCGCTGTGCTCTGTCCAGGGTGCCCTGCGGGGTGCTGGCACTCGTGACTGCCCGCTCTGCTCATTTCTCCTGCCACGGCCAAGGGTCTCCCAGCCTTGGGCTCCTGAGCGGGGCTGCCTTCCTGAGTGGCCTGGGGCTTGCAGCTCCAGGCTCTGCGGGGCTTCTGGCCACCTGAGCATGTTGGGACCAGGGCCACTGGCCCAGCCCCGCCCCAGGCCGCTGGCCCCTCCTCTTGTCTCCTCCCCTGGGTGCTGGTCCCGACTCCTTTCTGTCTGATCTGTGTTGTCAGCTTGATGCCGGGTGGGCTTTAATCACCTGGATTTGGAAGTTAAGCGCTTCTTGTCCACTAGGTTTTCTCATACGTTACAGTTATTTTTAAGTTAATAAGCAGTTGATGGAGGTGACGTAGCTTTAAATGTTCTCTTCTGTCTTAACCTTCATCCTCCACTTACCTGCAAGCCCCGCTCACTTTTTAAACCTTTTTAGCTCTTGCCCGAGCCCCAGCCCGTGGTCGTTGCCAGATGCCCTGGAGCCGTGTTGCAGTTCACCTGCCTTGCATCCCTGAGGCTCACACTGGGCTGCACAGGGTGTCTGGCGTGGAAGCACGTGCTGCCTCTGTGTTTCTCTAGGCGTCTGGTGTCTTCGCCTCCTTTCTGGCTGGAATGTGGCTCAGAAACGCCAGAAGGCCAGAGGCTGGAAGGAGTTTAGTTGGCACTTTGTATCCCCACACCTTTTCCAGTTTTACCTGTTTTTACCACGTGTTTCTAGAGTATCTTGGAAGGAAAGATGGGCTGCAGTGGAAACTCATTGTTGAAATGTGGAAACTTTTTATTTAAAAGTAACAGTACTTTAGAGTGTGGAGATTTAGTTACAGTTGAATCTCTTTGAACTTTACGTCAAGTGACCTTGACCTTCGCATGCTGTCCTGTAACCCCAGAGCTGTGTCTGCTTCCCAGGAACTGCGAAAACCCAGCTACGCAGAGATCTGTCAGAGGACGAGTAGGGAGCCGCCGCCGCCCCCACTGCAGCCCCCAAAAGAGCAGAAGCTAAACACTGTCGGCTGTGGGAAGGAAGAGAGGAAGCTCGCCGAGAGGGAGCCCCCTGCCCCCAAGTCCAGCCCGAAACCACCCAGAGACCAGAGGAGGCCACTGGGGCACCGGCCCTCACCCCCAGCTGCGGGGCAACATCCGCACAGAGAACAGAGCACCCTCCCCAGGTCCCCTCAGTGAGTACCAAGGTCTGGCGGGCTGCGAGGAGCTGGGGTCGCCACAACGAAGCACTGTCCCTCTCGAGACGGGAGTGAGCTGCTGGTTAGGAGGTTGCAGTGTAGATAAGGTCCCCGAGGTGCCTGCAAGTTATTTTTCTTCTATGAGTCGGATTTCCCCCCTCTTGAAAAAAATCTATTTTTCAGGATTTAATTAATATAAATCTTATTTTAGGTTGGTGCTTAACTGGAGATGATGCATAAGTCTGATTTTTTTCAGGATATAAAATGCATTTATCCTAACAAATTGATATTTTTTATTAAACCTCCATGTGACTATGAATGCAAGCTATATATATAGTGAGTTTTTCTAAATTAAGCAGAACTATGCTACTTCATTTTTTAAAATAACTGGTTAGCAAGTGCATATCTCTAAGATGTCCAGACCGATGGATGAGGCTGAGGACAGTGGGACTGAGGCACGGGGCAATGCTGAGTGTAGCCCGGAGGTGGTATGGGTCAGAGGGCGCCGCACGCTGGCCTGGAGGTGTCCATCCATTCAGAATCTTGACAAGGGTTCTAGCATTTTCTTAAGTCTAGCCCGTTTTGATCGCCTGGGCAGAGTGACCCTGCAGAGCACCCCAAGAGCCCTCCTGTCCTGCCAGCAAGTAACCAGCTTCTCACTCCAGTCTCAAGTGGCTGTTATGTGAGATAAACCCAAAGCACATTGTGAATGGAACCTACATGAGAACATAAACTTTGTTGCCCACTGACACGTTATCGCAAAATGATACCCTGATGTTGTCTTACTCCCGCGAGCTGGCAGGGAGGGTGTGGAGCCTCCCCATCCCTCTGCACTGGTGCGCAGCTCGGAACATTCCTGAATTGTGAGAGAAAGTGTTTGTGGTGCCCGTGTGGTTGTGGAGGACCAGTTTCCCGCTCTCTTCCCGA